CGTACTTGGTTAGTAATGTCGACACTGCTGGTTTGAATCTTGATATACTTTCTTCTCTCTCTTCAAACTTCTACAATATAATTTAAATGTAAGTATTTTGTTTATTCTAAATGTAACGTTTTTTTTATTTATTGCATGTTATAATAGTGCATTTTTTGCATAAAAATTCTGTGATTTATAAAATACGGTAAAAATAAATAGCTTAGTACTAATTACTATCTGTTTTCATAAAACGCGAATAATTAATTGTATGCAACATGTAAAAATATACGCAACATGTTTTATTTATTGGAACTAGATGGGACAATACATAATGCACACAGGATGATATTTGTCATAAAAACAAGTGAAGTAAACAATAACTTTCACGACAGTATGCACATCGTATGAACGCTGCAGTTTTACATTCACATGGTTTTTTCTTTAAAATATCTATTCGAAAACATATTTCGTTGACATTTCTAAATATCTTTCTCTCGTTTGTTAATGTGGAAGCATCCCTTACAAAAGGAAATACTAGCAGTAATATATTGCGGCAGTGGTACGAAAAAATTACTGGCATTCTGTGTAATTGCCAGTAATATTCTCAGTGATTCCTGTAATACTTAACTTTTTCGCTCCGGGACTGGTCCATATATGGACCAGCAAGAAAAGCGAACGTAATAGATGTTTATAAGGTCAATTTAATGCACTAAATTTAGGAAAAAAATTGAAAAAAATCCTGGTTACTTCTTTGACCTTCAAAATTAACTTTGAAGGGAGGGGGGGTAGCAGGTTATTATTAACTTTTTCAGCTAAAATGTGAGGTCAATTTTAAAGGAAAAATCCCCGGAGCGAAAAGGTTATAATAATATTCTTATGTAATTGTCAATAATATTTATATTATTGACTTTATTTACATGTAATCAACAGTAGTTCTTTTTCGTAAAGGATACCATGCATATTGTAACATATTTCGAAAACTCGAGGTGGACATTTGATGATGTATGAGTGAATGAATTTTTATGCATTCTTCACGAAATGTTATTTCGCGGTTTTGTTCTATTAAAGTTGAATAATTCTGCAAACGCTTTCGAACAGTTTTGACTTGTCTATAAAAATAAACGTCACACGGTTGATATTACTTATTTATCCGCTTTTTATGAATACAATTAGTAATTAGTATTATACTAATCCACTTATTAATAATATATTTTTCAAATCACAAAATTTTTATGCAAAAAATGTACTTTTATAACATGCAATAAATAAAAAAAAACGTTACATTTAGAATAAACAAATTACATTTAGATTATATTATAAAACTTTGAAGAGAAAAAAACTTATACCGAGATTCGAACCAGCAGCGGTGCCATTACTAACCAAATACGCTACCACTACGCTACGAGATCTTCGATTAAACAATCTATTTAATATCGTTATAAGGTAACTCGAAATTTTCAAGGTTTTGATTTTCTCGCGAATGCTTGAGTAGTGCGTCTTATTAATTTACCTTGCAATATTCCACATAGTCATCTATCGATCCTATAAATTTTGTCCGAATCGATTGGTACAACGTCGTAGTCTCCTTTTGTCAGTAATATTTGCCAAATTATTATTAGATCATAAGCTAGTAATTTATTACTCACTTTGGTTTCATAACTAAAAGTAATAAATTTTTGTAAGAGATATTCTACTGTACTACGATAACGTGACAATTGTCGTATGAGTTACAAATATGACTATGTATTACAAGTAATTTCAAAGTTCTCACATCAAAATACCAAAATTGCACAAACTAGAATTGTATATTTACAGTTACAATAAATGTCAAATAATCATCTTGCATCAATCAGTTTGGAAGTTTTACTAACCAAATTTTACTAAAAAACCTTTTTACTAAAAAGTTTTCAACACTTCTCGCTGTCAACACTTTTCTTGCATCTTGATTCAATGATTATGTCGTGTTTCTACTTTCGTCAAACTAATCGACAAAGTCGTACAACAAATTTTTCAGAGAAAGGCTACCAAAAAATACAACGCTCGCAATAAACGTGATGTCAAGCCAGTCACCGCGACCTTTTGCGTAAAACGGAAAGAATAAAATCTGGATTATAGCAATTACGAATGCAGTTCCGAATTTCGCACATTTATCTAGTAAACAATTTCTATACATTTCTATCAGTGGAATATCTGCCTATTTACAATATTTCATACAAAGTTTTGTAAATGAAAAACATTATTTCAAATGTTAGATTTCAAAGAAAACTATCTAATTATAAACTAAAACAGTCTGTATGTGAAATTATATTCTTATATTTAACCGTGAAACAGACATATATGAAACCATTACTTCTATCATCATACACGTACATAAAAGAGAACAAAAATAAGGTCGTTTTCCCAAACACAGATGTTTACATTCTGGCACGTAGATATTGTTTCACTGAAACGATCGTTTCTTAGTTATCGAGAATATCTCGAAAAGGTAAGATCGCGCAAATGTTACGGGTTTGATATCGTTGTACTAGAAATTCATAATACTATTTCTTGCAATATTTATATCTAAATGCATTGGATATCACTGTATAGAAGATGGTAAGTTCTTATTCCTGTGTGTATATGTATATATTCTTATATTTGTTGAAAATTTACAAGTGTTATAAAATATAACGTTTCTAACCGTATGCAAATATCTGACAGTCAGTATTGGACCATAAGTTTATTATGCAATATAAGTTTATTATGCAATGCAAACCGCGCTCAAAACTAATTAAGGTAGTTCTATCACGTAGGATTTCGTGGGTGCTAAAAGAAGTTTTAAATTAAAATGTACAAGAAACTAACGCGTACTACGCATAACTAAAAATATAATTATTGATGAAATAAAGTAAACTATTTTACATCACATTGAGTATAATTGCGGAGTTGCCACATATGGCGGCTATACTACGTACAGGTTAAAATTTTGACATTTATCAGTTTAGATCAATTTATTAAATCAAAATGGTCGTTAACATTGTTATTTTTTTCAATGTCTACTTAGTAGATAGTTTGAAAATATATTTGGTAGTTTTTGGAAAAGATCTCAAGCCTACCTGAGCAAAAATGGATTAGATCTAACTTAAATTTAACGAAATAAAAAACCGAAAAATAGATCTTATTAGATCCAATTTAAATCTAAATAGATATAAAGTAACTTTAAATAAATATAAAGTAAATCTAAATAAATATAAATCGATCTATGGAGAAATTTACACTTTTATTTATTATTAGATCTACTTTCGATCTATTCAGATCTATTATATTAGATTACCTCAATACGAACACAAAAATTTTACGTATATTACATATGTCAATGTTTTATATCTTTATTCAACTTAATATGTTTCATTAAAGTGGTCGATAACCAACTGTTTTTTTGTTTTAAAAAATTGAAGATTGGTTGAGACAATACTATATAAAAAATTAGAATTTATGTCAGAATTTTTGTCTCGTGATAGAACTACCTTAAACAGGTTTCTCGAATTTAGTTTTGTTACAAAAATCTCAAATATTGTCGAACACTTGGAGTATACAGTAAAACTGTACTTTGTTTTCTTATTCGTCTCTTCGTATGTCGAATTGGTAAAACCACTTCCGTGATATGTGTTGTGATGTATGTGCGTGATAGAAATAAAAAACATCTTTTCTGATAAACATACTCATAATGGTCACACATCTGTGATTGCTGTTTGTGCATTTGATATTGCAAACGTTCGTTGTCTTATACTATTTTGCGTATTACTTTTGTTTTAATGTGTGTCTGTATTTCTCGTTTAACAAACAAAATAACTTTGTAGGCACGCATTACGCAAATGCTTATAATCTTCGGAACACTATGGTCAATATCTGTTATCGGAATAGCTTCTTCTATTGATGAGAATTTGTCTCAGACATCGCAGTGTGTACACCCGATAAATTATACTATGTTCTTAGAAATACAAGAAACTACTCTTTTTGTCAATTCCACTGTTGTACTAAATGTGTCATGCGACCAGCAATACATCAAATTACAAATTGGACGTTATTGTAATATACAAGATTTAAATATTAAAACTGCAAAGCTCTATATNTCTATACCACATTCGGAAGTCACTATATCACAGTCAAATACTACCAAAAATCGATTCAAAAATGTAGATATTAATTTCCCCAAACAACAGTGCAGAGGCCCTGTATGTCGTGCGGGAGGAAAAGCAAAAGTACCTATACAATCTGGAAAATACGTGATAAATTCAATGTATAACTGTACCTTAAAAGAAATTGCGATGGTTTTTACATACATGAACCAAAGTGTAACAAACGAGTAAGTGCATAAAAATCTATTGCATAGTAACATATTTATAATGCTGCAAACATTATACAATTTCATATTTAAACTACATCTATTTCTACATTATCAAAATATTAGTCAATAGATATTTTTAATTTTAAATATTGCAACAAAAAATGTTTTACTATGATATTACTAAGTTTTACCTTATTTAATACAATTCCTAAATCTATTCTATAATTTATATACTAATATAATATAAAACCATTTTTACTAAATACATTTAATAATATTATATATTTTTGTAAACAGCATTGTTATTTACTAACTAGAATTGTATTTTTTTAGTACTACATTTTTTGTGTTTGTTTTTGTAAAAATGATTCTTATATTTTTAATACTAAGTGATTATTTTTTATTACCGTACTATTGTGGTTTTGTTCTATCTGATTTTGTTTTTATTAGATTTCTGTTTTTATCGCGTATTCCTGCTGAATGGATATTTCCATATTGGGAAAATCCAGCTACCAAAGCTAGATTTACCATTCGAATTAAACATCCAAATACAGCTCTAGTAAATATTCCTGAAACTTTTGAAACAAGTACGCGATATAACGTATTTTCTACAACATCTTTAATATCTACGCATTCGGTTGCATTAGTTGTTTTACCGAATAATAAGATTATTATCTTACTACAATCTAATTACCTTAATAAGGTAATTATTACAAGCAGCTTGAAACTAAAAGATAGCACATTCTATGCACGAATTCTTATACTTGATATCGTCAGACTTCTCAGAAACATGTGGTATTATATCATACCACAGTCATATGTTCATTACTTACTACTTCCAATAACCGTAACTCATTACGAAAATATAGTAATTTCTAGGTTTGTTTTCTTGAGGTAAGATGCATAACTCAATACAAAAACGAGTTTCTACACTATAACTCTGTACACACTGAGAAAAATGTACTGGCAGTAACAATTATTTTTATTTTTAGTGAAGTTAACATTATATACGACAGAGAAGTAGATTCCATTATAAAAGAAAGAAAAGCAACATGTTCCGTAGCACGTAGTGTGATACAAGAAATATTTAGTGATTGGTTAGTTCCGTTTAGACAGTCTGATCTTTGGTTTATTGAAGGATTTTCAACAGTATACGGAGTTTATATTCGCGATCAGGTTAGATTATTCTTGTGCAGTATTTATTTAAACATTTTTACATAAATAGGATAATTAAAAACCAGTGTTATTTTTAGAAATAAAGTGGACCGTTTACATTGATATTAATATATTTATTTTTTAGTTATTTTGAAATGATACGCGATATAACATAGTAGTATTAAAGTACGAAAACATATATATAATGTTTGTGTGTGGAGAATAATTTACATATTTTCTTCCTCACTTTGCTATTAGATTTCCTGTGTTTTCATTTAATTTTTTAATCAAGAATATCATCAATTTACTAATATAGCTCTTCGTGATATTCTTGATTAAAAAGGAAAGTGAAAACACTAAAAATTTATTACACCAATACATTACTTACATACTGCCTGAGATGCTTAAGTATGTGCTCATCATCAAAATAGTTTACCTTACTCTGTCTTCTTGATAGTATTACAATACATCTTTACTAAAGTCGATTGTGGTCCAAACACGACGGATATTTTTCGATTATGTAGAAGCAATTACAGAGGAATCTCCATTTCGAGAAAATTCACTCATATCACGCAATTCAACTCTTACTAAACTGTGGCGAGAAAAAGGTAAAGAACCAGAAATTTATTGAGTACACTTATTTCTTTAACTTAACGTTTACACAAACTGATAGGCCAAGAAGTATCAGATCTTACTTTATATCTTTTAAAAAAAATGTAAGACCATATCCTAAAAATACTGTAAAACTTTGCAGCTACTTAGTATCTTTACTGTGTAAGTGAACACTTTTGGAGTTTGGTCGTAGTTTGCTTTTTACACCGTCTAAAACATGTGTCGCTTTATTGCGACAGATTTTATAATTGTTACTACAAAAGAAACCTTTGTTAATTGTACTTAAAACTTTGTGCCTTATTTTTATTGGGAGCTTGTACTTTTATATCTCATGTAGTTTGAAATATGATACAATCCAAATCGATTAACAATTTACAAACTAACAAATGTAATACGTGATATAATATTTCTGGTACTGTTATATGTAAACAAACAATAATAAGTTATAAATATCGTAAATTGCATTTGTACTTGTAGTACAAACCAGAGAAAAATACTCTTATCGAAAGCTTGATGATATTGTGTGAATATGAAGGTCAAAGAATAGAAGTATTACTAAAGTGTTACTGTAATTCCAGAGTAATCACAAAGTAACGTAACATATCATTAATGGTATAATTTTCCACTCACCAATATAACTACGTACAAAGCGTGTAACGTCACATATACATTGTTGAGTGAAAAATTATAACAATTATTACCTTACTGTTATTTTGTGTTTACTGGGAATTATACGAACAGATAAAAAACATAAAACCTAATCTAACGTTATGAAATATATATAAAAAAACAATATTAAATTTAAATTTTTATGTATGTTAGAGTTAAATAAGCTTCAATTTGTAAACGTATTATTTATTATAATTATTTTTTAAATAAATTTTCAAAACTTCAACGTTATGAATTATGTTGTAGCATTTAGTACTTTCTATATGCTGAATACCGTTTTTGAACAAGATGTCCTATATACTTCTCTATTTCAAGAAGCCGTACACTTATATTATTACAAGTGAGTCTATATAAATCATTGGAGTACAAAGAATTTTGACAATTTTTAATTAATATTTTAATATTCTACATTATATATTGGTAAAGTCACCATACCTTATAACAAACATTAAATATTTTTTTTTAAACTTTACAGCAAGCATTATTCTTATATTTTGTATTATAATTATATTATACTCCTTTTCAGGAATAATACATCAAATAACACGTACACCAAATTGTCACTTCTTGATAAGTTATGGAATAGATATGTTGAGACGTATTCTTTATATAAGAATGTTTCATACATAAAATCGTCAGATATCAAAAATATGATAACTTCATGGACAGCACAAAGTGGTTATCCTGTGGTACAAGTAGACCGACACAATGATACACAGTCTGTATCTGCAATGATTAGAGATTGTTTTGACGTTAATTCCACTGTCAAAATGCTGTGCAAACAAAAATGGTGGATACCTATGACTTTTAAAAAATTATTAAACACACAAGTTCTTGCTACTCATTATCATATCCTAAAACCAGACAGTAAAATGTTTTTATCGCTACTTTATGAAAATCAGATTAACATTGTCGTGGACCACTTAGGTAATGTGATTATGAGTTTTTTATTTATTATATATACTATATATATGTATATATACAGTGTGTTCCAGAATTGGTGTACCATCTCTTATAAACAGATAGAAGGACTACAATTGAGTCGAGAAGTCCTATACCATTTTGCTAGATTCGCAATAGTTACCAAGATCGTAATTGACAAATATCCACGAATAAGCGTGCATGGGGCTGTCTTACACCGTAAGACAGCCCGGCGCATTTCGCACGATTACATTGTATATGTCATAATATATGCTGTAATATTAGCTTTTCCCTTATGTTGCTACGAATAATATCGTAATCGCGCGAAGCGCACTGGGTTGTCTTACTTGCATAACATAGCCCGATGCTTATTGGCGGATATTTTGTAATTACGATCTCAGTAACTATTGCAAATCTAGCAAAATGGTAAAGGACTTTTTGACTCAGTTTTAGTCCTTTTATCAGTCTACGAGAAATAATTACCAAATTCTTGGACATCTTGTGTATATAGTAAATCTTTTCACTATCTTATTACAGTTAATGCTACTATTATATTGGTTGTTTCTTGCTTTCTCTTATTTATACTCTCTAAACAATTTTTTTGTCGTAGGATATCGCGTAAACTATGATCGTGATTCTTGGAAGAACATTGCTCTTTTTCTTAAAACTGGAGGGTCTAAGATCGCAGAATTGTCTGACGTCACTTTAGCACAACTTCTCGACGATGCTTTTTATTTTTTGGTGCAAAATACAAAGTATAACCAAAAATATGTTCCACATGATAAAATTGATCTGGACATATATTTTGAACTTGCAAG